ACGTTGGATACAGGCGGCCAATGGATACAGGACTGGCCAATATAAAGTCCCCTTGGATACAGGCGGCCAATGGATACAGGACTGGCCAATATAAAGTCCCCTTGGATACAGGACTGGCCAATATAAAGTCCCCTTGCCCCACCGAATCTGCTTGGAGATTAGGTTGTGAGCACAGTCTGTGGGGTTTGACATGGGTCGCGATCATGGACTACCAGGCTGTAGATACAAACCAGAGAGACTGATCCCATAGCCTACCAATGCAAAAATGTACAAATGGAAAACAGGAATGCAAAAATTTGGTCAACATTTTGATGTACAGACTGGGTCAGTCTGTTACAGACCATCGGTAGTGATGGAGGAACTTGTGAAATGGAATGTTGCTAAGCATCAAGCTGGCTGGGTCGTGGTGAGGTCATGATCATCAGTTTTATACACAATTAGTAACACTGACAAAATATTGCTAATATCTGAAAATAGAATTTGAGTTACACACAAATATGCATACTGATAGCTGCATTAAGCATCTGTGTAATTAAGCTGATATGAAAATACACAGGACAGGAACCGTAGTGTTTGGACAACAACTTGTAAGTTGTAGGCAAAAATACTGTCATATCACACACTCACTACCACATTCAACAATTTATATAAAAAACTTGAAGATTTCGTGAAGGTTTGACTGTTTTAACTTCCAGACTAAATCTAGGTTTAACCACTTAGTAGCAAGGTTGGAAAGGGAGAGTAACAAGCAAACACGTCCATACCATCTCCATTGTTTGCGTCTGAACTTTTCCCAGCTCCGGAGCTTTTCATTCGCCGATGCCGTTTCTTCCCGCCTCCGCCACCACCACTCGCGGGTGTGGGAGGGGGGTCCATCTTTCCACCATCTTTATTCTCCTTGGCTGTTTCACAGGCACAGCCATTAGCAAACATACCTGAGAGAAGAAGTACATACAAGTTGTTATACAGAGACTGATAAAATTTGACTAAAAAGGAGACTGAATGAAAAACCTGACAGTTGAACAAATCAGACCCATGACCATGCAAAATGCTTCTTATTTATACAATATATGTGGATTACAGTCTGCTTAATTTGGATTTGTGTATATTTCCCAGATGTGAAGAGGGTGACCTATGGTCATGTGAAGGAATATAATAATTATACACACAAAAAAAATGAAAAGGAAGGACACAAGTGCACACCTGAGAGATGGCGGACTGGTGAAGGAACAATGAGGTTTGGGAGGGACACACCAACAAACAAACAAACAAACAAACAAAAGACAGAACAGACATCATGTCACAATCATGAACAAAAACACTAACATAAAAGGATAAAAATGTTCACTTTGGCAATTGTTTCCACAATAAAACAGTAACAAACATGTACAAGATAAAAACTGACATATCAAAATGCAATTTTGGGAATTAATTTGACAGGAAAAGTTGGTTGAAAGAGAGTAAGTTGAAGATATCCAAATTATTAATTGACACAAGTGGCTATGTTTGAAGTACATGTACATTCACCATCAGTTTTCATTAAGTTAAAAGAACTTGAAGAAACAAGACAAGTGATAGACCAGCATGTTCATATCGGGGTGTAAACCCCTCTAAATGATCAATGGACTGGTCCAAATCACGCCAGCATGACAGGAAATCAGAAGGTACCATTCGATCATAGGGGTAGTCAGTTGGATGAGATTGAAGGAGATAAAAAATGTTTAAGATAAGATGGAATGTAAGAGTGGGAGTCTGCATGCCCTTGTTTAATATTCATTTGTTTGAATCATTCTTTATTCATAAGAAGCTCAAATCAGCCTGCAGGCCACTTTTATATTGAGGTCACGAGGGAACGGATAGACAGACAAAATACAGAACAAAGATACAGTTTACGTCATACGGCATTTTAATTTTGAGTTGAAACCCCCATGCAGACCCCCAGGAGTGGAGAGATGAGGACGGTTTTCCTACCGTCAAAGCGTTTAAAGCGGTGGTCGCGATGACCAGCAAGATTGATACAGGACTGAGCGCGAGAGAGCTCGTGGAAACCTAAAACGTGAGAAAATGAGGACAGAGTGAATCATGTAGCAAAAATAATTTTATGGAGAAAAATAAAGTAAGACAGAAACTGGATTAGGTAAATCATGAAGAGGGAGAATGTCAAGTAAAGAAATATTACTCAGTGATACAATTGCAGAATAAAAAAGGGGAATCCATTGTACAGTCACAGTCATATTTCAATCAATTCAAATTGATCAATACTTTCATGATGAATATGAAGATGGTAGGCAAAAAACCACTTCAAAAACTGGAATCTGTAAAAACTAAAATGATGGGATACAGCCACAAAAGAAAAGGAACAGAAAAAAAGCATGAAGAAGAGGAAGCATTTCCAGCCATGAATTGCTGCTGTTTCTTTCCTCAGCAATGTTAATCTCGAGTAAAAACAGCTGACAGACAGTGAAGTGTTGAAGTTTTGGCTGTTTGCAGTATTATGCGAGGATAAAGCACTGCATGCAAAGCAGTACAGAAGCTGTGTTAACACACACAAGGCAGCGAGCCCACACGCTAGCTGGCAATCATGACTGCTGAACTGGAAAATGAAAGGTTCAGGGCTGCCCCCTATTGTCTGGCAGGTAAACTGCAGTTCTGTGAGAAAACATTGGACATTTCATGAAAGAAACGTCTATTTCACCCCTTAAAAAACTTCCTTTGAAAAGAACCTTTCAACTAGACAACCCCAATCTAATTTGTTGTTTCTCTAAGTTTCGAGATCAACATGAAAACAGTTGGAGGTGAAAGCCTATCTATATCTTGATCTACACGTTTCAGGGAGTGAATGTAGTCAGATTCAAGTTTTCATCCCTGCCCTCTGTTTTATGTTGACCTCTTGCTGACTTTTTGTTCAAAATGTCCAAGAATCAAGAAACAGATTGGTGTGGCCTTAGTTAGATCCAGTTGAGCGAGCCATAGTTGTTAGTGCTTCCACAATGACTGAGATAACAGGAAAGGCTTACCACAATGTTCATGCCATGCAGCATGCAGGGAAAGAATCACAACAAGCTCATTAGTGAACAGCCAATGTCATTGGTCAATTATTGGCCAATCAAAGTAACATACACATCAGGAAGGTCTTATGTCATCGGTCAATTACTGGCCATTAGTGGCCAATCAAACGAATGAATCAGAGATAGAGGTCATGTCATTGGTCAATCATTGGCCAATCAAAGGAACTATCACATCAAGAGGGTCATGTCATTGCCCAATCAAAGGAACAAATATATGAGGAAGGTCATGTCATTGGTCAAGTACAGGCCAATCAAAAGTCATTCATGTCATCAGTAAAGTACATGCACACATCTCAAAAGACGTCTAACACATGATGTTAAAAAGCAACATAAAACATTTCATGTCATGCCACTGGATAACCGTCGGAAACTGGCAGTCTAAAACTGGCAAACTGTCAGTATGTAACAAATCAAGAAAGACCAAGCAACTTTTTCCTGACAATATCAGCAAAGAGGGATCATGTACAACTATTCAATTGGCAACATGCAATAAGGACAACATGTTTCAACTTTCAGAGTCCTTCAAACAAAACAAACAAAATTCTGGAATGCTTCTACTTCTACTCATCGTCTAGAATACTGAATGTCCTCCTATCACAAAATATAACCACTGTGAATGTAAATTAATATTTACTGTATCATGCCAAATTAACAATTCAAAATCTGCTTGAAAGTTCAACTCTTTTGGTAAAGGTCATTCTGAAACAAGGTTTCAGCTGTGTTTTACATTGTTTCGGAATTCAAAATTTGATTGACAGCTTAATGTATTACGTACAACACTTTGATTGACAGGTGACTGACCTGGAGTGACGGAGTTGTTGGAGATGATGACGGCATTATCCCACTGCTCGGAGGAGGTGAAGGAGCAGGATCGGGTGTGGCTGCCCCCCTCCCCACCTTTGAACGAGACAAGACTGATACCATTCCGATCTCGGCTCAAGGCCACATCATTGGAGAACGTGCCTGCGGCGAAACGCAACAGTGTCATCATGCATTTACGGCTGGGGTGCTATGGCGTCTTGACATGCAGTGGAAAACTATTAATGGGTGCGTGATGTGGGAACGTTAACCATCAGCATGCTAAGGTGGTTGCTTGGCACCAAATTTGCATTGTTTCTGGGGTTAGGCAGCTTGGAGAAGGTTAAGCCATATGCTGGACATCTAGTGTTGAACGTATGCAGAACTCAACACACTTATCACAGGGTGGAGGGTTACATGTACACTTTCAAAATTTTCTTAAGCTTCTAATATGCAAGAGCTTCTACTGTTCTTCTGCATTGTGCATCATATGATTCATAAAACAACTTCTCCTGTTTGAGCCTCTGAAATAGCATGTTACCTAATAAAAATTCAGGATGGCTAGAACACTGGTCCGGGTGTGGGTGTAAGATTTAGAATAGTATTAATCTCACTTACCCCCAATACTGCCTGAGATTGTCATACTGTGCATGTCCTTGGTGATACCGTTGGTGATGCTGGGACTGGGGGTTCCATGGTAAGTAGCAGGGGCACCCTGGGGCGTGGCCCGGGGCGGTCTCTTTCCCGGGACCTTGACTGTTGTCCCTAGCAACCTGATCTCCTTCCCATGTATGTCCTCCATGTAGTCCTAGAGACATTGTTGAAGATTTTGGGATCAAATTTCAGTGAACTGTACAACACAAATTACATGTGGTGCCTCATACTTTACTAGTTTCTAGGAGAATGAGAATGATTTCATACGCAGTCCAAACCAGCTGCCGCCGCACCGCGTGCCTGCAAAGCTGGTGTGTTATGCCGAAAGGCAGTTATACCGGCTATACAGATACAGATACAGATATTCTACAACTGTGTCATGCACACAATTTGGGCCAAGGCAAGGACAAAACGGCTCAACAATCTTTTCTACGCTATCAGACTCAGTTTCATAAATTACCCATTGGCTTCTCGACACACTTTCAGTTTTTCTTCCTCAACAAGCAGTGTATGACTGCATTTGTTTGTGCAAAAATCCTAATACATGTGATTGAGATTTTCTTTTTTCTTCCCTAGACCTACATGTACCTTCATCCAAAATCATCCAGAGCTTCTTAAGTTGCTGACCATGAATATAGAAACATACAGACACACATATTTTCTTGGTGGTACATGTAATAATCATTATGATACTAACATGTAGGCTGGGGTGGTAGGTGAGTCTGCCGTCATCACACAGCGTCACATATTTTTTCTTCCACTCCTTGTTCAGGGATTTGCTACTTCTCTTGTATAGATAACCCTGGAAACAAATTGAGAGAAAAAAAATTGCATTTTGCTTTAATGTTCATCTGAGTGGGTAAAAGTTCTTCTAATGTACATGTAGTGTAAAATAATGTATTTTAAGACCAATAGCACTGACTATTAATTTGCAAAGGAGCCCATATGTAATCACCTTTTTAAAGAAATTGCAAATTGTTTTCAATTCAGTGTACAACACTGCACCTGCCAATAAAGTCAATTCTTGTATCTGAAGTTAATTCTGCCAGGTCACACATATCTGCCACACTGAAAAATGTATTTGACCAGATCTCCAATGCAACGTCATTCGGTAAAATGCACTGAGCCTACATGCATGTATCTAAGCTCTGCATACCTGGGGGGTGCTGTACATGTACTAGAGATCTCTCAAATACGGAGGATGTATGTAACCAAGTGGATAAATCTTCTGCCTCAGAATTCAATATTAAAGAATGGGGGAGTCAAATTCCTTAGTTTAATACCGCGCAGAAATACTGTAAGTCTACAAATTTCCGCGGTATATTTAGATTCGCGGAATTCGCGGGGGCCTTTGTACCGCGAATCTATTTCCCCGCGAATATGTTTTGCGTAAGTGCGCCCCCCTCCCCACATGCATTCACGACGGTAAGCGAAACACAAACACACGCGATTCACAAATCACTGCAAATCAACTTTATTCTTAGCAAATGTTGAGTACCAAATTTTTTTAAAGTTATACTGATGTCAAAAAATCATAATATTATGAAACACCGAATCGCGATACTGCGGCACTGGCCGTGTCAACCGTGTACCGCCGAAAAAAATGTATGCGTGCAGAGCGCCGGCCATGCGCGCCCGGGCGCTTGAAAATTGCGGGAACATCGGGCATATCTACAAGTATTTTTATGAAAAATATAACGGCTGGTACCTGGGAAATGTTAGTTGGCTATCTTTTGCGCCCTGATTTGCGGGCGTTTTTTTCTTCTTCTTGTTTTGCTGGATAGAAACGCTCACCGTGGGCCTACAAAACCGAAGGCGACCTTTGCATACATGTACTTCCGGGTTCAAAATCTTGCCGAAGACGGCATAAATTTGCTTAGTAATATATATATTCTTTCGATTATGCATTTCTTCACTAGAGTATCGATGTTTAGTCGTGGAAAATAGCATTTTAGCGCTTTTTTCCGAACAAAGAAAATTGTTTACACGTGCGTCAGATCGATCGTCAGCTTTACCGCCGGCAGTCTCGCGCGGTGCACGAAACAAATTTTTGCGCCGCGTTTTAGGAGATAAATGCCGGAACACGAACTTTTATTATTTTAAATATACACTTTACAAATTTTTCTTTGAAAAATAGCCAAGGAGAAATCGCGAATCTAAAAATACCGCGGATTGTCCATTTTCCCGAAACCGCGAACTTTAGGCCCCGCGAATCTAAAGAGACTTACAGTATTGCATGTGTAGTATACCCCCTACATGTATTACCCCTCCAGGTATGACTCTAGAATTATGTTTTTTATTAAAACCTTCATGAGAGATACAGTGCCTCTAGCTCAGTCCCAGCAAGAAAGGAAAATTTACATGACTTTTTTTGTGCATAAAAGTTCATCTGTGTTGGTAGAAGTCTTAGCAGAAAGATTTACCCTTTGATTCAAACATAAAGAAAGCTGCAAAGTCCAAAATTTGGCAGGTCTGATTTTTTTAGTGCTGTAACCACTTATGTAAGACTTATGTAAGTCTTATTCCTGGAAGAAATACTGCATAATATATAACATACGAACCACCTACATTGTATCACCCTCTGGGTAAGACTTTAGAATTATGTTTCTTATTAAAACTTTCATTACGAATACAAAGCCTGCAGCTCTGCTTCAGTGAACCAGAAATCAACAGCCGAAACCAAATTATAATCTGATTGATTCTTTCCTCCAAGTGCTTCTAGTTCTGGGTGAATGATCGATGATAACATTTGCGGCTATCAGGATTATGACTATTGACTCTGCTATTTCCCTACACCTGTTCTACATTGTACATCAGGCCATGTTGATTTGATTATATGGATGACATCCTCCGGGAGCCCCAAAACTGATGCGCGCGTGCGAATGAAAAAAAAGTTTTGCAAAAAAAAAAAGTTCTTTTCATTATGAAATCTACGTGGTCATGAGGGTTAAGCACATGGCACAGAGTATGGTTTGGCGAATAATATACATTGTGTACTCTTCAAGTTCATTTCTTTACAATTTCGTCTTTTTTCGTTTGATTTTGGCATTCTACGACATTGGTATAGTTTTTATTAATTATAAGTTATGGTATATTTTTGCTCGTTTTGCAACTGTTTTGTACGATTTACAGTATGGTTAAAAACTTTTTTTTTGGAAATGGCCGAAAATTCATGCGCGCGGATGTCATCCATATAATCAAATCAACATGGCCTCAGTTCTAGTTAAGCACAGATTAGTACTTCGTTATTATTAGTAAAGGGAACTTTGCTACAGAAGTCTCTGATAATCCTTGGTATGATATGTTTATTCTAATTACACAACATTATGTCAGGTAATTACTTTGTCTTGATGTAAATTGTTTCTCTATCAACCAGTAACAGACAATTTGCAGGGAAGCGACCAAATTAGACTGGAGCAAGAATAGCGCAGGGAAATTTGCTACAAATCGCTATGAATTTTTAGGGTCTAAGTTTGAAATAATTTGTTTCATTCTTAGTAAATATACTTACAATAACACTTCGTGATGATTTGTTCTGTAAAATTCATACGAACATTTCCAGATGCAAGTCAGATCGAAGTGTTGTGAAATTTTTGCTCATTGACCCAGATTTTCCCATTCATAAATAAGAACATGAAGAAACGGTCCATAACTCTGTGATGCTTTCCTGAACCAATCAGTGATTGAAAATCAATGTATACGGGTTGTCGATGCAACTCTAATGTGTTTGCTGTGGGCAACCATTCCATATCTCTGCACCATCTTGCATAAGACCTGTCAGATTTGATGCTGAAGCACTCTATTCTTGTTGCTTCAAAGAAACTGGAGAACCCTTTGACATTAACTGATTTGGTGATGTACAGACTAACATTGTTTGGTACTTTGATTCCGCTATCGCTCAAGAGGAGAATCATTGAGTATATCACCAGGGTCCATAATATCACCACCTTGAGAAATAGTGTGCTTTAAGATATTTTTACTGCAACATACTTTTGGTATTCACTCCTGCACACCTCAAATGTACATACCTAGGGTATGTTGCAGTAAAAATATCTTAAAGCACACTATTTCTCAAGGTGGTGATAATATGGACCCTGGTGATATTATGGACACAGATGTTAACCTGACAGTAGATCTATTTTGGTTTAATGCACAATATATTAGTCATATTCAACTTTTCCTCCCGCCCTCTGCATTTATGATATTTGCTTGCTGTATTCTCACCTTGAAATGTCAGAGAACAAAGGAAATAAATAGGTGTGGCCTTAATAGGAAAGTGTTAGTTGTAAATTACATGTATAATTAATAGTAAGCATACATGTGTGCCAAGGCTGGCATCAATCGTTCAAGAATTAACTTCCAACACCTGACACAGATCTGTCTAATACCAGTCATTAATTTTCACACTTAGAATGGCGAATCATTAAAACTAGTAGATTGTGTGGCATAATGGCTGGGTGTTTGGCCAAGAACCCATAGGTCCCGGGATTGAATCCACCAACGTTTCATCAACTCTGGGGCCCGTTGTTGACATTTGTTTGACTAAGATTTCTTTTAGTTCAACTGTCATGGCATTTGCTGTCCTAAAAGGTAACGATAATTTATTACTGTTTCAACAATATTTCTTAATGATTGATTGACATTATACATAATGTCCTTGATTGATAGCAAAAAGATCATGACTTCACTGAAATTTTAAAGTCTATTATTGATGTATTTAGAAATTTCAGATATTCATAATATTCAGATAAAAATGTAGGCCTTTTTAAAGAATACACAGCTTCATCTGACATTCTGGATGCATACAAACTTGGAGACTGGAGCCATTTCCCTCCGAAAGTAATTCCACACTTCACGGGGGAATAATTCATGTGCTCCTACAGGGATTTGTCAGGCTGACTACACAGGGAGGGGTTAGTAGGTCACTGCGCACGTCAATTCCAACAGCCGCCATCCATGATATTGGAAAAAGGTAGGAAAAGGAAGAAAGATGATCTGACAAGATATCTTGTCTTGAAGATTGGACCTCTGCACTTGAAAGAGCCCGACACACTTGTTGAGAGTCATTTTCTATACAAGGATTTCTATCAATGGATTCAAATAGCAAATTTAAGTAGAATCTATGTTGAACTTCATGTTCAAAACTACCAAACTTCATAATATGATCACAAAGACTAATCCTCAAATCATATTCTATAAAATTGACAAGTTTTTAATAAAACATAGTCATATCACATAAGGTAATCATCATCATAATTAGATTTGCATAAAATGCTTCTATCCCACCTGTTTGATTGGAATAGCCCTTCCACTACCAAAGTCGCCGTTTTGTTGCCTTTTCTTGTCGTCGTCTGCATTTTTTCTGGGCTGCAGATGAGGAAAGAAATTAACACAATTAGACCAAGTATCATTCAAACATTATTGCACATATTACAATGACTCTTTATGCATGACTACAAGTATAGCAATTAACAAGCGATTGACAACCATCAAAGGAACTAATACAACCTTGTAAATTGTTTGTAACATGGTCTGATGCTGTACAGAATATCACAGTTACAAAATTGGGGTAACCTGGCACAAATACCTTCATACATGTTACACAACCTTCAAACACTGTCAATGGAATGATCTGTTATGTTCTAACACCCTATGTTCCGACACCCATGTGTTCTGACAACAGAATGTAGTCAGAATGTAGGAGTTTCAGAACATGGAATAATCTATGTTTGGGATTTTCCTTACAAAAGTTGCAAATATGGCTATCTGGAAACTCGAATACTATATTCTTACTCTTTGTATTTTGTCAAAATTCCTCAATAGATTTCAGTTCCAGGTTTATGACATCTTTATTGGGTTGATAAGAACATCCTTTGATACTCAAGCAACTTGGGATATAACTGGCACAGGGTGACCTTGAAAATCATTGGCATAACCATTTTCCATCAGATTCAGAGGGCAGTGAGTGGCATTTCCCAGGATGCACCTCTGCAGGATGATGGTAAATGGCTCACCCATGGGGGCAATAGGGATGACATGATAAAAATGACCTCATTCCTAAGGCAGCAAGCTCCCCTCTTCACTTCACATTCCATGCAGATGACAACAAATTAGGTCATCCTATGGGCTTAAAGCAACTGACTGCAAAAAGGTGATACCGGGTAAAAGATATGGGGGAAAGCTTAGTCCTCAATCAACGACAAATATCTGACAAGGAAATAGGTCAAAACTTGCAACTGGCTCTTCCCAAATTCTAAGACAATAAATACGTTGATGTAGGTTTAAGACATCATAGGTAATGAGAGAGAGAACAGTAACTCTAGCAACTGGACACTTCTTTTTTTTTAACTGTCAGACCTATAGTTAGAATGTAAATTGTAATTTTCTGGAGATAACATTGACATGGGATATGCACAATGTATATCGCATGATGATTTAAAACTAATAAAAATGAGACTAGAAGTATAATAGAAAATGAGTTAACAAAAAAAATTGTACTATTTCAAACCTTGTCTATAATTGTCTATCATTAAAAACATTTCAGATTTTCCATCTAAAATCAACAAATCTTGAAATAAAAACCTCCTGTAAAATTTGCCTCAATCTAAATCCTTCTCTCCTATGTAACAAGATTAATTACCATCATTATTAAGTGTTTTACAAGACAAACTACATGCAGGCATTAGCATTACTAAGGGAATATACAAAATCCTCTTAATGACAGAGTAAGAGGGAATGATGGATGACAGGAATGGTGATCTGCTAGCCAGTCCACCAGGGGTTACCAAAATGACGTGGTACGACTCATTTATAGTGTAATGGCTGTCGTTTCTCTTCGCAAATGCCTCTATCTCCATTATTACACAACATAAAGCTGTAGTTCTGTACCTACGATTTTGTTTTAAAAAATCAAGACATAGCAAAAGAAGACCACTGAGTCACTGACCCAAGCATTAAGTACCCTGACTATAGTGACCACCTGTATACTGGGACCAATTTCTTCCAGCTTTTACGTTAAGTAATTACTTTAGACAAGTTTGACTGTACATGTACTTGAGAGACACATATACATGTAGCTTAGATGACCCATCCCATTTTTGCAGATATTATATACACACATGTGCAGTAGTCTTCACTCCGGATTATCCAGAGGCATCATGATGATGATGTACAGTAGTTCTGACGTCCCATTCTAGACCCTTTATGTTGAGTGATCACTATAGACAGGTTTGACTGTACATGTACATAGGAGACAAAGTTTAGATGATCCATTCCATTTTTGCTGATATTATACACACACATAAGGTAGTTCTGACATTCCCTTCCATCTACATATACATATCACCATCACTCATACACACACACACAGTTCTGACATCCCATTCCATCTACTCTGATACATACACACACACAGTTCTGACATCCCATCCCATCTACGCTGACATTCTACGCACCCTTTTCCCCTGACAGTCAGACAGACAGAGTATCTGACCTCGACCCGCGAAAGACGCCGGTCCACGATTCACCTGTGTGACATTCATCACCGGCGTCTCGTGTTCCAAAAATCTGCTTACACGTCGTGAAAGGCTTGTACTAATATATACTTAGCTCGAGGCCATATCGAAAATACTTAGAAAGGAGAAGTTGCAGCCATTATGTTGACAGTGGTGGTGGTTTCAGGTGCAGTTGCAATATTTAGAGAGAGAAAAAGCTTACATATCAGCCATTACAAACAGCATTACTGGTTTGCTTTTCCTCAATACAGGATGATTTCTTTTACATTTACAGCGTAAAAATTCTAAAAGTCTTTGTAGGCCATGTTTGGTTAACTTAAAATGACATATGCTGCTCGAAAGCTACCATCCTAGGTAGGTAGTCATGAGTCTGCTCCAGAAAAACCCATTTCCCCAAATGGTCCATATCTCTCAAGAGGGGGAGACATATGCTGCATAAATTTTGAATGCTGTCCTCTGTAAATGGCAATCGTATATTACATACATGGGTTGTACAGTCAGATACTATCTGATGTGGCTCTTTGAATTCCATATTTGTTCTTCTGAGTGGTATAGGCAAAATTTACTGGAAAAAATTCTACTGGGTCTACACTTGACTGTTTCTTTGGTTCTCTGATGTCTTAGCGAAAAAAATGACACTATGAAAACAGAGAGCTGGGAAGAAAACTTGAATCTCAGTCAAAAATCTTCTTCTGATCTGAGAACTTGCAAATAAAATTGGTGTAGCCTGCGTGTGTAACAGTTTTAATCATCTTTCCACTGAAGGCTGACCTAAGCAGGAAAAAGGTTAACTAGTAAGATTAGACACTAAGCCTGACTAAAAACCACTTTACACCCAAGTCTAGATTCCATTCCACCGTGAAAAGGAGCGAGGCCCTGTATCCTATCCACATCAGATCTGATTTTCAATCAGGAAAATTACTTCAACACTTCCATTCGTTAATTGGCTGGAAGAAATTGCAATTGATTAGATCCCCCTATAGCGAAACCAACGCCACTGATGGGGGTCAACGTAATCATAACCCTTCGGCCGAATCAATGCAATTTGCCGACAAAATTACCGTCTTGCGCATCATCATTGTCAAACAAATATGAAACCAAAATATTCTTTTTTGCGAGTTAGCTCACTCACACTCACTGTCCAGGCTTTGATTATACTGCTGTGGGGGTCCTGAACACAGGGGTGGGCAGCAATCAGTCTTCACACTACACCTCCAATTAGCTCTGGACAGAGCAAGGAGTCACTTAATTAATACAATGCAGACTGTTATGTTATTACCATCCCCAAGATGGCCATGTCTTCGGTATCATTTGTGTTTAACAGTGTTTGAGGTTGAGCAGCATATATGTACATGTAACTCGAGAAGTTCTACATGTAAATGGATTATTCATGAAATGCGATTACCGGTAGGTCTTGTCTAAATATGTGTTGACAACCGTTATTACTGTAAGGTAATAAAGGTACTCGTAATTGAGCTTCTCTTTACCCTTAGTCCTCCCCCCCCATTTTTCCATAAATAAAAAGCTGCAAAACACTTTTTGTAAAGAATTTGCAGTATCATTTTCTCAGACCAGACAGAAGTGATTCTGACAGTCAGAATGAGGAACACACCATTCTGGCATGTTGCTTCCACTCAGTGAAACGACATGGAGAGACTACAGGTGTTGTTAGTAAGATCGTCAAGTCATCCCAGACCTGTTACCAGAATTCCTACCATTCCCAGAAGAGGCAGAAACAGACTTACTGAAGACTGTGGGGAGAGGACATTTAGCAGCTAGTACATGATGGATGTTTGTGTGGGTGAAAATCCTCTTAGTCTTATATAGATGTGTGCACAAGGGTGTCAGGGAAAATGCTGCAACATCATGGCTTGAAATATACTCACCTAGCTACTAGTATGTGAAGAAAGATTTTCCATGTTGCAGAAAAACTGTCTACAACTTTGGAGGTTNCCGTCTCGTGTTCCAAAAATCTGCTTACACGTACGTGAAAGGCTTGTACTAATATATACTTAGCTCGAGGCCATATCGAAAATACTTAGAAAGGAGAAGTTGCAGCCATTATGTTGACAGTGGTGGTGGTTTTAGGTGCAGTTGCAATATTAGAGAGAGAAAAAGCTTACATATCAGCCATTACAAACAGCATTACTGGTTTGCTTTTCCTCAATACAGGATGATTTCTTTTACCTTTACAGCGTTAATATCCTAAAAGTCTTTGTGGGCCATGTTTGGTTAACTTAAAATGAAATATGCTGCTCGAAAGCTACCATCCTAGGTAGGCAGTGATGAGTCTGCTCCAGAAAAACCCATTTCCCCAAATGGTCCATATCTCTCAAGAGGGGGAGACATATGCTGCATAAATTTTGAATGCTGTCCTCTGTAAATGGCAATCGTATATTACATACGTGGGTTGTACAGTCAGATACTATCTAATGTGGCTTTTTGAATTCCATATTTGTTCATCTGAGTACCATATAGGCAAAATGTACTGTGGCCACACTACATTGTTTCCTTAGTACTCTGACAATTCTTAGCAAAATTCAGCAAGAGGTCATTATAAAAACAGAGGGCTGGGAGGAAAACGTGAATCTGACAAAGATCTAATTCTGCAAGTACCAAAGAACAGACTTTACCCTCAGTTATTTTCTCTTTCAAATCTGAGAACTTGCGAATCAAATTGGTGTGGCCTGCGTGTGTAACAGCTTTAATCATCTTTCCACTGAAGGCTGACCTAAGCAGGAAAAAGGTTAACTAGTAAGATTAGACACTAAGCCTGACCAAAAACCACTTTACATCCAAGTCTAGATTCCATTCCACCGTGAAAAGGAGCAAGGCCCTGTATCCTATCCAAATCAGATCTGATTTTCAATCAGGAAAATTACTTCAACACTTCCATTCGTTAATTGGCTGGAAGAAATTGCAATTGATTAGATCCCCCTATAGCGAAACCAACGCCACTGATGGGGGTCAACGTAATCATAACCCTTCGGCCGAATCAATGCAATTTGCCGACAAAATTACTGTCTTGCGCATCATCATTGTCAAACAAATATGAAACCAAATTACTCTTTTTTGCGAGCTCACTCACACTCACTATCCAGGCTTTGATTATACTGCTGCAGGGGTCCCTAACATAGAGGTAGGCAGCAATCAGTTAGTCTTCACATTGCACCTACAAGCGGCTCTGTTCAGAGCTAATAGTCACTAATACAATGCAGACTGTTATGTTATTACCATCCCCAAGATGGCCATGTCTTCGGTATCATTTGCGTTTAACAGTGTTTGAGTTTGAACAGCATACGTGTAGATGTAACTCGAGAAGCTCTACATGTAAATGGATTATTCCTGAAATGCGATTACTGGTACCAGTAGCTAGATAGGTCTTGTCTAAGGCCCGATTTAGACTAGAAACGGTATACCGTTTCGAAACGGTACGAAACGTTTCGCCACAGAAAACGGTTCGTCTTTAGACACAGGGGCGGAAGTGTTTCGGGCCGCCCGTGGCGCAGGATGTTTCTGACCCACAGTGACCTATGATGACCTCCCCGAACCACTTCTACGGTTTGCCTCATTGGCCTTACGATACTTGTGTTTCAGGACCTTGAACTTCGCCCGAACCTGCTTTGGGGTGCACAAATACCCCTCAGCCGCCAGCCCGTCCACAATCATCTGTATGCCCTCCCTATTACGCGAGGTCTCCAAGCGGGATTGTATAGTTTGATCGGCCCACAAGATGATCAAGAAGCGGGTCTCATCTTGGGTCCAGACCCTCCCCTGGCCTTCTGCCATCCCTCCAGACGTAAAGGATAACAAAACTTCGAGAAATACACGATATAAAATGGCGAAAATGGACACAATCAAATATGGCGCGAATCTACCAGATAATGGCCGTGCGCGGGCTTATTAGCATGTGATTAGCATATGACATGTGACCTGGTTTACCGTTTCAAGAAACCCTTTGTCTTTAGACCTAGCAAAAAGCGTTTCGGGCCCCCCGCTGAAGGGTTCTGAAACGGTCGAAAACCACGATGGAGGTGGTTTTCGGAAACGGTCCGCGAAAACCCATAACAAACCGTTTTTTCCTCTTTAGACCGGGAACGGTTAACCGTTCTGAAACGTTTCTCTGGCCAAAACCCCTTAAGCGTTTCTAGTCTAAATCGGGCCTAAATATGTGTTGACAACCGTTATTACTGTAAGGTAATAAAGGTACTAGTAATTGAGCTTCTCTCTACCCTTAGCCCTCCCCCCATTTTCCATAAATAAAAAGCTGCAAACACTTTTTGTAAAGAATTTGCAGTATCATTTTCTCAGACCAGACAGAAGTGATTCTGACATTCAGAATGAGAAACACACCATTCTGGCATGTTGCTTCCACTCAGTGAAACGACATGGAGAGACTACAGGTGTTGTTAGTAAGATCGTCAAGTCATCCCAGACCTGTTACCAGGATTCCTACCATTCCCAGAAGAGGCAGAAACAGACTTACTGAAGACTGTGGGGAGAGGACGAGTCATTTAGCAGCTATTACATGATGGATGTTTGTGTGGGTGAAAATCCTCTTAGTCTAAGTTATAGATGTGTGCACAAGGGTGTCAGGGAAAATGCTGCAACATCATGGCTTGAAATACCCACCTAGCTACTAGTATGTGAAGAAAGATTTTCCATGTTGCAGAAAAACTGTCTACAACTTTGCAGGTTCAAAAATTTAGCTATTACAGAAAAAATACTACGTTACAACTATGTCGGTTAAAAAACATGGTATTATGGCATAAAATGTTGCAGAAACAGAGAATTTCCAACCCCAAACAACAGCATAATTTCCAGTCATTTTCCAAGTACCTCTTTTGAAGAAAAGCAACATATACATGTACTGAACTTCAGAAACAGAATCTTATTTGAAATGTGTGATTTACAAGCTCCGCTGCACTCCCAGATGCTATGTTGTCTGATCTGTATCCCCCTATCCAGAAGAGGGATGTCACGCCACTTAAATGTTCTTCCTTATGACGCAGTAATGTAGGGTAAGAGCATCTTGAGTCAGTGAGCTATACAATTTATGGAGAGAAATGTACGTAAGGAATGGCTGGTCATCTCAGTGATAGCGTCCTCTCTGAAGCAACAGTAATTTACTTCCTTGGTTCTTGGACATTTCTTAGGAAAAACTCAGCAAGAGATGAAATCAGGAAGGAAGAAAAACTTGAATCTGACCATTATGATTTAGAGCTGTTCAACATACTATAAAGCAAAGAAACCACAAATATCTGAATGTAGGAGTGCTGATATACCATAAAAACACTACCTGTAACAAAACCATATCATATCGGTAAATATATTTCATCTTCCCACAAGGAACTTTTTGAGGTTGTTACAGAACTACTGTGTTACAAAAAGTTACTGTAAATATATTTGATCTGTCACTACAAGGCTTTTTGCTTGGAATATGGAGAGAAACTTTCTGTGGGAAGCAGATCCAGCTCTTTATTATCCTGAGGAAAGTAGCATAAGGACTACCAAAGCTTGGCGAGACTAGGTCAGAAACCACTTTTAGTGTACACTGATATATTTGATGTCTGTTGCAAGGCTTTTTGCTGGGATTTCAGAAAGGCACTACTGAAACTTGGCAAGCCTAGAGAAGTAGTAGATCAAGTTCTTTATTACCACCAGGAAGGAAGTAGAAGGACTACTGAAACTTGGCAAGACCTAAGAACTTCTTTATTACCATGAGGAAGGCAGCAGAAGGACTACTGAAACTTGGCAATACCTAAAGAAGTAGATCAAGTTCTTTATTACCACGAGGAAGGAAGTAAAAGGACTACTGAAACTTGGCAAGACCTAAGGAGTTCTTTATTACCATGAGGAAGGTAGCAGAAGGACTACTGAAACTTGGTACGTTAGAAAAGCACTTTTAGTGTCTGTTTGATCGCCATTGCAATGGTTTTTGCATGGGCTCAGACATGCTATACGAGGTAAATCCAGACTTCCATTACATGTCCACTGACTGTCTATCTCCTACATTACTCAGTGCCACTGAGTAATGTAGGAGATAGACAACTGAAACTTGGCACGACTATTTCTTGTATATCACCTTGAATATGTCTGATATTCATTGTGAGGCTTTTTGCATGGATTTTGACATGCTACACGAGAAGAAAATCCAGACTATCTCTTCCTTCACACCAGGTAGTAAGGTAGAAGAAGAATCTCACCATGACAATGTTAGATCTCTGTTGCAAGATTTTTTGCATGGATTTGGATGTGCAACTCGAGAAGATCCAGATCACCGAGAATATGCTTGACAAGGCTTTTTGCATGGATTAGGCGTATAACTTGAGAAGATCTAGATATATTTGTATTTTAGTACATGTATCTCACCGTGAAAATGTTGGATCTCCGTCGCGAGGCCTTGCGTGTGGACGTGGGCGTGCTGCTGGCGCTGGCACTGGTGTCCTTCCCTTCCTTCTGGCTGCCGGGGGACGGCAGGGTGGACGTCCCCGTCGACGTCACTCCGATGGCGCTGCCGTGGCGACCGTTGGTGATGGGAGGGGCTGGCACGGCGAAGTGCCCGTTGGTGCGCGTGGCGGTGTGGTTGGGCGTGCTGGGGAGGGACAGCGAGCTTGGGACGGGGGGAGGGCCGTGGGTGTAGCGGAAGGCTACGATCTTCTGAGCAGCTGGAGAACGGAAAAGACACAAAGTGAATGAATAATTTCATCAGGTTTGTAAGACACTGAGGGTTCTTTATTTAGTCTCTCCATCTCTGCTGTGGGTGTAGCAGAATGCTACAATCTTTTGAGCAGTTGAGGCAAGACAAAACTAGAACATGATGTAACCCAACACTAGTTACCATGGCGACAGGTCATTGACCTTATGTGTTTGGAGAAGAGGAAACTGATCAAAAACAACAATTTTATTCCAACATGTAATCACAAGACGTGGTGACAGCATGCTCAAGTTTTTCAAACTATTTTTATGCCTCCACCAACACAGAGGACAATACAATACGTGACGTCATGTAAAGTGCCTTTCCCAAGGGCACAAGTCTGGTGGCATGGCAGAGTTCAAACCTGGGACCTCTTGGTTCCAAGAGCAAACGAACGATTTCATCAGGTTGGGAAGACACTGAGGGTTCTTTATTTAGTGTCTCCATTTGGAACTTCTTTGTCAGCAGAGATGGTGCCAAACACAGCCCAAATTGAATGATCAATCAACATGTGCAACATATTGTGTTAAAAGATACCTGTCTCTTCACACAAATAGTGAAATACTGTTCAACCACTGAAGTTTTCTGAAACCATCCTTTGTGACATTATCCTGGAATTCTCAAACGTTGTGGACAGCATGGCAAAACACAGATTTGTTTTTATTTCTAGAAGACACTGCCAGAAGTGGCGAAGTTCTCGACTGGTAATTGTCAGGCTGGCTGATGTAAACAATCTTTTCCCCAGGCTTGGGTGTTCTACTGGAATTCCCCAGTTAGTAAGCTAAGAGGTTTGCTTTTCTCTAAACAACCAGAACCTTTCCCAGTCATAACAACCTTAAAGTGCTACTCCAAGAGCTTGCACCAGACCTTTCTGTATACATATACTTCTGTATACATAACTATTGCAAGTGTAAGCTTCAAGGGGACGTTGGGAGGCAACATTATGTTTTCCTAAGCCGCCATTTTGGTTACAATCTGCTCTCCACTTTTATGATGTCCACTTGAAATATTTTCCCTTTAAAATGATAAGGAACCATAAGATTGAATTGGTTATGTCCCAAGGTTTCTCAGCAAAAAGAATTCACTCACCATCTTGAAAAACTCTGTCCACGTTGAGCCCATAGGTTGCACACGTCTCGTAGTATGTACATCTCTTCAGGTCATTAGCCAGTTTCCGTGCCCTGCTGTCGTCTATAGCACGTGGGTTGCTCGGCGTAATGGCATCTACGAGAAAGGTTTATTGAATAGTAAAGTTCTTTTACTTACAACCACTTGTTTAACAATCGTGAGCTGATGTTTTTGACAATTGTCTGCCATCTTCATCAGGGCTATAATGGCTGGATGTATGTGCACTGAAGCTAGGTGTTACTGGTTCACAGTGCACTGTAGCCACTAACAAAAAAAAATTTATGTGCAATGTCTCTAACAGGGTCATAATTAAGTTGCAAATAGCATCTACTGTCTTTCATAAGAGAACTTTAGTCAATATCTTGAGATATGATTGTTGGTTCTTACATTTGCACTCCAGTCCAATAATACATACTTTATCTTCAAGTTGTTGGTTGTTAAAATACATGTAATATCTAAAGATATCTCACAACATGACTAAGTCTTGGTTCTTTCTTACCTTGCGTTCCCACTAGAATTAGCGGCAGCTCAGCTGTGTTTCTGTAGTTCGCAATCCTGGCATAATACTGATAAACGGCATTGAAGCTGTCCTCATTTTCCAAGCTGAAGACAAATATTACAGCATCCACCCATCCTGAGAACTGCAATGAGAGATCATTTTTCAATGTTAAAATTATATACTTGCATATTATTTCTTCTCTGCAAGGAGCCTTTATCCAATGTGACATAAAATGTTGAATGTCCTTGAAAATGAAAAATAGCATCAAGTAGAGTTGCTTCACTTTGCCTGTAACATTTAGGTTCTGAAAAGGAAATAAAATGTGCAAAATCTGTTTTTTTTTTTCAGATTATATTTTTCAAAGGACTAATGTTGCATTACTGTACCGGCATACTGTTCTATACCGGTATCTTTGTACATGTGCTGATGAAGAGTTTGATCATTCCCAGGTGCACTGGGAAATTTTCAGGATATTTTGGACATGAAAAACAGTTGGTGCCTTCTTTAAATACCTGTCCAAGAAATGCAACATCAAGACACAATCTCTCACCTGTTGTTCAGGGGGACCACCCTCATCCCTGATCAGAAGAAGATGACTCTGGCAGTCTGCTACAACCTCCTTCTTAAATCTCCCACCTGAGGAGGAAAGAGTTGCATCTTAAAACACTTCTTCAGGCTGTATTACACTATCATTGTACTAATAAGCATTACACTTCATCTCATTAGCATTACACTTTGTTTCAAACATTATGCTTAGCAATATATACTAATAAAGTACATTTTTTGCACATGTAAGGGCAGTTCATATCTGGTGATTAACTACAGTCATGACCAATGTACATGTAATAAGGCTTTCAATTCAGAAAGACACAAGGAATTTGGAAAATTTCATTAACTTTCTGTCTTCTATTTCATATGTTACTAGATGCAGCACTAACTAGAGATCTCTCAAAATACTGTTGTTCAAAGTGAAATTATGCAGCCTGACAGATGTTAGATAACTGCTGCCATAACAACTGACCTTCGGGACACTCGTCGGCCAGGTACGAGCCCGTGAGGTATCTGTGCACCAGTGCCGACTTCCCACTCTGTAAGGTTCCACATACTCCCTGTGGACAGGAGAAACCAATTATAAAACTAGAAAAGTAACATTTGCGAACAAATGCATAATGTTTAACATTAGATCATCATCTTCATGGTCCCGTAGTGGCAGGCCATAGGGGCAACTTTTGCCTGTACACAAGTGATACATCATGTCAAGGCCAGCAGACATGGCAGGCTTCATCCCCTTACCCATACTGCCTTGCAACCCTTCCAGTCCCACAAAGACAAAAACTAGTACCACCAAGGATGCATGGCATCACTGCATTGTGTACATCTTCTTCTTCTGGTAATGTCCATCTGATAAGTCATTGGCAATAACGTTAACTGATACGCTAAATAAAAGTTACAGATATATATATTATGTATGTTTAAGGGAAAATTACAAACCAGTCTGAGTTCTGGTACAGCTCTGCTCACTGTCCACTCCTGACTGTTCACAAAGGCATCTGGAGAAACACAAGAAAGACGGGACATGTTCATATTCATAGTTAATGATTTGCTAGTTATGACTGAGTTATGATTGTTGTTAGCAATAACTTGTCTTAAGAACATTAAATGTGGCAACAACAATCTTGTATCAAACTGAAAAGAGGGCCTGCAAGCCCTTTTTCATAAGGCGTAATCAGGCCGTTTTAGACTTCGTAATTCGTAGGCAGCCTCTGCAAAAATCAACGTAATCAGTAATTGGACATTAACCGCAAATCGTAAATTTAGTCGTAATAAGCTCTGAGACTTTAACGTAATTCATAATAGGCGGCAAAAATTTTGCGTAATTCGTAATCACTACCCCCCCTTGCAGGCCCTCTGAAAAGACAAATTCAAATTGAGAGAAATTTTAAGTCAGAATCTAGTGTATCATTTCAATTCAACTTAATAGATGAACACATATGTACATGTAGTACTAGTAGATGATGAACATTGAAGAATTTCAGAGTCTGTTTTAGATTCACTTTCCAATAGCTCTTAGTATATCACCACAGGTAATCATTGAAAGGAAAAATGCAGAACTTAAACAACTGATATCATATATTGACTGTCATGTAGATTTCATCTTTTGGCATAGCCATAATTCACTCTCTGTACATTATAAGTTAAAACGCTGATTCAGAAGATACCATCCAGTAAAACAGCTAGACTGGTGGGTAATGATCTGATAGTTCCGCATTATGAAGTACGCCGTTTGGACTTGACCTTGTGATTAATCTCATTTCCGGCGGCCAGGTTTACTACAGACTATCTGTATTGGTTTAGAAATTACAGTGCGAATTGTCCAATTAACGATAAAATCTAGCAGCTGACATGCATGGCGGCAAAACTAGATGGAAGGCATTAGTCAAGGTTTGGGGAATCAAAGTGCATAAAACAGCGATAAAATTGAACAGTTTCTTAATGTTGTTTTTCAGCACATTATGAGTGAGTGCATTGACATCAATGTGATGAAATGAAACAGTTTCTTAATGTTATATTTCAGCACATTATGAGTGATGTACAACATTGACATCCACGTTCAATGTTGTACATTCATAACTGCATATATACTGTATGTCTGCAAATTTAGAATATGTGGCATCTTTTGTCAAGTTTGACCCAAGAATAAACAGCTATCTACTAATTTGAATGATAACTCTATAGAGTAAGACAATCTTACAATGGTGCACTATAATTATGGAATATACAGTAAATGTATCCCGACTGACAGTTTGCAACATAGACATTAGCTAAATGGGCTGTGCATACAATATTTACTGAGGGTGGGCTACATGTACATACAGTATGGTCTACTAAAGCTCTATAGCTTAAATCAAATAATATGTCACTAGCTGACATCTACATTATGTTCTCATTGAAGGTCACATCTTTGTGTTTCGGGCCACGACTAATATATCGAGGCAAAATTTTCGCTGGCGCTCAGGTCGGAAGGGGAGATATTGGGCAGCAATGATTGGGACCTAGTTTTCAGGACAGGACAATATCACAGCGGGGATAGAGGGGTGTAAAATCAATTTTTCACACAGGAGGGGAGATCATGGCGATTCTTCATGCTGCTCTGATGTGCACAAATTCATGGATGGGTTCTAAATCTAATGGCTGAGAATGTACCAAATTTGGTACAAAAATAAACAGAAAAATTGTAACAATATCAATTCTAACGTCATAATCCAGTATTAGAATTCTCAAAAGTGGTGCACTTGGTTTATGCTAAACGCGTTCGAATTATTCTATGGAACACCTTAGGCCTGGATGCCTGTGTGATGACCAAATACTAGCATGGTAGAACCCTCAGGCCTGTGTGGGACGGGACGGGACACCTGTATCGAACATTACCACGGTCCAGGTATGATATAAACATAAATATACATGTAATATAGGAGGAACATCTCTAAGTTATTGCTGCCGTTTGTTGTCTGTTAGTCCAGATGGATCAATAAGTATTGGGCCCATTCTGCTGACGTGTAAGTTTTGTGTCTCTGGGGGGTTACTTAAATAAGTGATGGAAGGGATGGCAGGGATAAAGGAACATGCTACTAGGTCAATATTAATAATACTTCTCACAGAAACAACATAGAAATTAGTCTTGTTTTTTTGGTGGTGGTGGGTAACCTACATTATCATTCTCTCATTTAATGTTATATTTGTGGATGACATCCCACCTATAGGTTTCAAATGGAATTTACTTCTGATGCAACGTTGATCATATATTCATAGAAAACCGTGAAAAATCTGAGTTTCGGGCAAGCGCAGTGTGTTCTGCTGACGTGCTAGGTGCATCTTGCCTGTCTCCCAGCAAAAGTGGGTTAAGTAAGCAGGACGACTTGACTCAGGAATCCTGGGATGTTTGGACTTCTGAGGGCCTGGTGTAAATCAGGAACTTCAATCAAGGGAAGATCTTTTATCTGTGATGGTGTTAGGTTGGCTGGGTTACTAAGGGTCATCTCGGGGACATTTGACTTATCATCCAAAGTTGAGTTTCTACTAGAGTTCAAAATGTAGAAAAAAATCTTAACAAGTTTAGCAAGCTCAAAAGTACAGGCTCAGAATTATTTATCACATATTGAAGAAATAAAAGTATTCATATCAATATTTTGAGCCCAGCTGCATTCATACAACATTAAAAAAATTTAAAGCTGTATGTTATTGCAATAATCATCTTCTCACAAGACCCTCATTCTCAATTTAAAGCTACATGTATTGTAATAGTGAACAGAGAGTGCACGCACATTGGTACATTTCTATAAGCTATTACCACAACAAAATCAATGTCTATTGTTCACATATTTCATGACCAGTAACATGGACTCTAATTTCTAAGAATAATACCCAAAACACAGCAGCCAACTCACATTACAGAATGATAAATTCATCAATTTGGAAACATGATATAACACAAATTTCTCTCACCCCTTCGTGCTGATAGCTTCATCATGTTGTAAGGCATTGTTTCCTAGGGTACCCCCAGCCCTCTGGTCTCACTGTGTTTGTGCTACTAATGCTACTGCTCCGTATGGTCCTATTGTCTGCCTTTCCCACAATGACTAACTCCTCCTGTAATTGCCCACACCTGAGACACCATCCTGACCACCCCTGTTACAAAATGGTACAAGCCAGGTTTCCTCTACATTCTGTTGACTTGGGATATTCTACTTAGTACAGTGTAGGGGCGAAATGAGATTTTGTATTATTTTGACCACCTGAGACCAGCCAATTCCCAGATAACACTTGGTCCTAACCATGTCACCCTTCATGCACATGACACTCATTTATATGTGCATAACTTATACAACTGGTTAGTCTTGAGTTTAAAAATGACAGAGCATTATTTAACTAGTATTTACAGCGCATTAACACAGTGCGGGATCAGGTCATTAGCATGTGATAATTACAAATTATCATATTATAAGTGATCATTACATGTACTTGCACATAATCTACACAAAACAGGGATGGGGTGTTATGATACAGAATAGACATCAAATTTGTCACCATGGCGTCAATACAGCTAAAACTCAAGTCTCAAAGGACATTTGATACGATCAATTGTCTATGGACCTTTTTATGATGTCTGTTTTCCTTGATAATATACATTTGTATAAGATGAAACTTCAAAGTCATTTTTCTTAAAAGAACTTACTGTAGACTTTAAAACCTAGAATGTGTCCTACTAAAAATGTTTCATACTGTTGAGCTATAAAACAGTATAATAACAAAACCTGCTGTTCCGTATAGAAATAAAATTCACCACCCCTGAGGCATAATTATACCTCTTCAGGGAGGCTTCATCCGTCATGCAGCTCCAGGCGACACGTCAAAATGAAAGCCATTTCTGCGTACTGTGATAATACTAAAAGATTCATTATGTTTTCAGCAACGCTCTGTGACCATATAAGGTAAAAACCAAACTAGCACCGATTCTACTCGAACAATTAATTGCCAAAAGGTCAGTGTTAAGACTAGACCACTATGTATATTTAATTGCCCATTCATGAATATGCGTGTTTTGAAATGATTTGAAAAAAATAGAATGTCCCAATTCTTGCTGTCATTTTTTGGCACTGTCCATATAAATCCAGTAATACATGTAGAAAGATTTTATTGCAAATCCTTGCCCAAAGGTTAATTACAAGTACATTTTGTACGATTGTAACATGGAAATAGTTATAAAGAATACTGATAGTCAATCTAAGCTTCCTTTTAATTATCTGAACCTTACAGAAACTTAGGCTTAGCTTAATGCATTTTGACCAATTCTTTATTACATTCTTATCAATGGCATGATCACATTTAGTACTAATGAGTGCCAATTTTACAAATTTAATGTAAGTTTTATCAAATCTTGGAACACAATTAGAAGCAAATGTATCCTCCCTTTTATTTTCACATGATAAATAAACAATGGTGAAACTGTGATAATTCTCCATAATTGCAGAATTTCTTTCATAGAGTACATGTGGACTCTGATAGTGATTAGTAAAGTTAACTCTAACATTGTTACCACTTATAGATCAAACCCTGGCAATTGTGTTGATGGTCAACTTGCTAAGAAAATCAATGTAGATATTGTAGTGCTGTTCAATCCGTCACCAGTATCATTACTATAGGGCGGCTGTAGTCTGCACCTAGGGCAATATCTATAGAACTCTACCTGATCACCTTAGAAATGTCTTTCATAATCAGTGTTCTACAACTAGGGATGCTTGCTTCTGGTAAAAAACATGTGCCAGTATCTAGTAAAATGTTCATGTACATTATGAAGAGTGACATCAAGTGTTGTTTACTTTTCTAACTGGGAAACTTTGAAGTTGCTAACTCCAACACGATAAGAAAACAGTGCGAATGACTTTCCAGGTTTGAGTAGTGGTTCGACATCTGTGTTTCTTCCCAAAGTGTGTGCCGGAGGGGAAACATACCTTCAACCATGCAAACCTGAAATACCTCTCAAGCAAAGGGTCACTGATTTTCACACAAGACTTTTCACTGGTTTCTTACCTTTTTATCAGTTGGGACATTCCAGTGCTGTTGATGGCTTGACAGATGTCTGGAATGTACTACTTTACAGTAGGGATAGACAGGTTGTTGAATGGAACACCCACATAGGCTTCAGCTTGTAGCAAAGTTGATTAAAGGTTGTCTGCCAAGTTCTAATGAAAGTGACACAGCTTTGACCACCAGAAGGGCCCAAAGCAGGGAATATGTAATCACCCACAAGAGGAACTTTGTTCTCAATAGTTTAAACAACATGTTTATAATGATAACAATGACTTTGTTCAAGACAGCCTGTTTCCTACAGCACAGGAAGAAGGATGTTGTTATAAACTCTTCATTCACAAAGCCTAACTGAAAATACAGTTGTGTTGTTCGGTACTGTACAAGCAGTTATTGTGGAGGGTCATCACATCTAGAGAACAATGTGTTTTCATATTGGCAAGTTGGTACCATATATTCCTCGACCTCAGATCGATAACAAGTCATTCACAGTAGGGCTAATTGGAACAAAATCACCATACAATACCAGTACAACTCCAATTTTACCTGGTATTTTGAGCCCTGCATTCATGTATGTTTTGAGGGATGACTGCTTGGTACTTCGTACATGTCACATCTTCTAAACTATTCGATTTTGATTTAAAAAAACTGAGGACGTACTTTGTTAGCAACTAGAAGCAAAACTTAAGGCCTGACGTAATTGTATGTGACATTACGCATGATTGCCATTTAAACAGGACAAATAAAACTGCCTGTACCACACATGAGGCCATGTCAGCATAATAACAGACATTTATCATGTACTGATGTATTAGTTTGACTGTAGTGCTTGGAAAGCATTAAAAATGTTTGGAATAGTGCAGGAAAAAGAAGCTTTGTTGTTTGGCAATATTTAACATACCATTTGACAATGGAGATATCATTTGTCTCACAAAAATGTCTTCTTCAAGCAAGGAATTCTGAGCTCAAAAATTTATCTAACAGTGTACTGTTTTTGTCCAACACCCCCAATCCACACACAAAAGAAAGAATTTCTAGCCTACCTAGAAGTCAATCTTATACATCAACAAAATAATGTATAATCATAAATAAATTATGGCTCTTTTACGTTTTAGGCCGAACTACAAAAGTGAGTTAGTGGATAAATATGTGAGGAATGCCAGATTGTTAACATGAAATGGCGACTTAACTAGAATTGTGATAATAGTTCAGTTAAAAGTCGCTAATGTTGTACCTTTGATTATTTGTCCCAAGAGAGAAAGCGGGCAGGTGTGATAATAAATAAATAAATCCCTAGGCAAACCTAAAAAAGGGTGAATTTTCTTATTTTTTTTTTTTTTTTTATTATTTTTGTCACATTTCTTTTTGCCTTGATGTACATGTGACTTGACTTGACTTATGACTTATGTCGAGTCCTGGTGTACATAAGTCATAAGTTATAAAAAATACCGCTAATGTTTTGATATACATCTGTCTGACTTTGAGAGATAACATTTTCATCTCACTTAATACTAAATGATGCTTTTTTTAAACTACGACAATGTGAGATAAATACAGTACATGTACCAAATTTGACAATATGTTCTGAATCGTATTTGTACAACCATCCAAATTACAATGGTAACACATAAAACTGTAATCAAGTTGATGGAATTGTTTGATATATGATATTGTCACCTTAGCAGAAATCGTTATTCATGACTTTGAGGTTCCAACAGAATAGAAATATTGGATATAACCAAATAGATTTTAATTTGGCAGAAAACTGTCCATTCCTCTGGACATTTGCTGACAGACAGATAACACAGACAGACCGCTTTCCCTTTCTGACTGATTGAAGTTGACAAATACAAACAAATTGTTGGAACTGTGTTTGCAGAGACCCGGGGGATACAAAAATATTTGTCAGCCCAGTCAACAAACCAATTCACAGTAATATTCATGTCACCTTTTCATCGAACTGTGGTGGAAAAATACATTACATGAATCCCTGAAGAATCATATATTACATTATCCGATAATACGGTTCAATCCTGGGTGTAAAAAAAAACTAAAAATGTGAGTAACGAATTCTTAGCCCTTTCCCGTCAGAATTGTTGACCGAAACGTTTACATTTGACAGAAACAAACATGTAAACTACCAGGCAAACTTCACACGTACGCTGGAGGCAATTCCGTCAGCAAACGCGGCGACTGACTCAGTGGGAAGAAGATGATGCATTCTGCATTATGTCGGTGAATCAGATAGGCCAGCTACGGTCGAAATTAATTTTCTGAGTTGGCTGCGCACGGTGGATTTACACATACCTATGGCCATTCCCGCGATGTGCCGCTATTTCTATAATAGTTCCGGAGAATCATAAACATTCGTCTAGCAGAGCCCTTTTGCAGATGAGACCATTTAATATAACAAATCAAAAACACCCCTGGTCATGTTTATGAAGATAGCGTTGGTAGATCTATTGGAATCTCGAATTAAAAAAAAAAATCTAATCATTTAGACTAGTGATTATGAAACAATTTTGTATCTTCAAATTCAAAGGTCTCTATCATTTATTGATTACTTTATAATGAATAAAACCACGCCAGTTAAGCACGCTGTACGCCCTTTCTCGATAACAGAATGGTGAAAATGAATTCTCTAACATCAGATATGTCAATTCTAAAAGCATAGGAATCAATGTAAGAAATATGGAAGAAATCACCTTAACTGCTACCTGCCTTGTCATTTACGAAAGCATGCTTAGTTTAAAATTCAAGGCCACGGGGTAGCTATCCAGCCATCCATTCCGAATGAAAGCATTTTTTGACAAAAGGGTCCTAACCGCAAGGCACAAACCCCCTCGTCCTCATTATACAAGCAATGAGCCGGAAAATCTGCCCAGCTTTCCTCACCCCAGAAACATGAGATTCCCACAACCCAGATTTTAACCAGAAATGGGCATTCCACATTTCCTAGCTCTGTATTTTCCTGGGTTTCTCTGAAAGACTCGCTAAAGATACGCTACCGGGCAAATACCACATTTGAAACAGTACCTTGCAGGCACTTAATGTGATTTAATTAAGCAGAAGAACCAACGGCTTTCTGTAAACAGCCTCTACAGTCTGTGTATACACCTTTAAGCTTCTATCCTTACATTTCACAAGTAAGAGCCGACATGATGATTCTCATACCTTCTGCCTCGTTTTGCTCAGCCAGATCGCTGCTGCTTGCAGTTTCACTCATGTTAGTCCAGCTCCTAGCTACGTCTTAGGAAACAAGGAAGGAGGAATGGCTTCTGGAAGGAGGTCCTTGGAGAAAGAGTGGCTCGGCGAACCCCCACCTACCTTCCTTCCTTCCCACCGTAGACTGAGGGTAGTGTGGGACGGGGTCAAGCGTGTGGTTTGTGATTACCCATTGATTGGTTGTGGGGCTGTTTACATGCAAGACCTGTGGACAGATGACTTGCTACAGGCCCAGCGGGAGGGCATGGAAGGGTTCCAGAATAATCAAATCTTGAAATATCCTCAACCAAAACTACACCTCACGTATGTTCTATCAAACCTTTAACCTAAAACAAAATATATCAAAAAACAAGACAAAATAAATCCACACAGTGACTGAATAATTGCATAGAAAGATGGACTACTTCAACCCCATCCACAGCCTCTGACAATGAAGTCTAAATGAGACAGAACCCAGCAGCATATTGGCAAAGGATGATTCATACTCATAGTGACGAGGGGAGAAAAACCTGATGATGATAGCCTAGCTGCGAAGGATGATTGCAGCACGAGAAATGAAGTGGACGATTTGCGACCCAGCGGCCGTGATTGTGATGGAAATGAGAAGAGCTAACAAAAAAATAGGGCAGAAAATCCCTGGGAGTCTTTATCTACAAACATCCAGGCTGGAGTCTGTGTACATAAACAGTCCTGCCAACCAAAACAGTCGCCTCTCAAGAGGGTGTCATGGAACTGGTACACAACATTTCTGTTACATGGACCACTTATACCGTTTATGTTTCTGGTCAACAAGGCAGCTAGAGATATGGTTCAATAGAAGCTACATCCAATTATACTACATGTTCAGCGTTTTAGCAAACCACATGCAAACTATACCAGTATAATGATATATATGAGCTAATACACCAGTGGAACAGATCTTCACCACATTTCTTTTACATACCCCACTCCTACCATTTTGTTTTTTTGGTCACCAAGGCAGAGATATTTTTTAATACAAAATACATAATCTGAATGAATAATTTCCATATACATGTACATATAAATGAAGTGGCATGCTATATAATTTATCACAGATTACCATCAATTTCAAATAACAAATATTTGTTAACTCTACTACTTGAAATGATAAGATCTTCTTCAGTTCAGTTTACCCAATGTTTACAAACAATGGTACTTGTCACAAACATACAGTATGTCATCTAAAGTCTACATACACCTAAATGTACATGTATGTCTGTAAGTCCTATACGAATGTATCTTGTCACCAGGCTTTTAGCTAGGGGGTGTCCAGGGTGTCTTTTGGACGCCCTGTACTGAAAATACTAAGAAATTGGACGCCCTACTTTTTGGTAGGACACCCTAAAGACGCCCTATTTTTTCCACTCCCAACCCCTGCCACACACACATGCCTCCCTTCAGCCTTACTATAAATACAGAAATGATGGTTTACTGATGAAAAAAACTTACATTCCTCATCAAATTTGCACCTCAAAATGCAAAAAGTGGTGTTTGAGAGCATTACAAATTTAAACAAGGCTGAGGCAATAAAAATCATTGCCAAGGCGACGACTGAATGATATATATTATTTCATGTGGTGGAGCTAGCAATCTACATTACAATTATCAGAAAAACATATTTCCCTATGTTATAAAGACATGCACGTAGTGAAATTTACAGGCTGGATGGAGGAGGTGTGGGGCAATATACCAAATACACGTATAGGAGGAATCAGCCGTTCTTCCCCAGCAATATAGATTTTATGATGACATACTTACTTACTTTACTTTGGTCGAGTTCCCGCTAGAACCAAACTGAAAACCATCCTCCACTTCACTCTATCCTCCACCAGAGACTGGATTTTATGTCTGGTCTGAAGTTGTTACTTTGACTTTTTTTTACCTTTTGTGTGTTCCAAAAGGACGGATAATTTCTTTTCTCTCTGTGACCTCTTTGAATATGGTCTTTGGCCAAAGACAGCTGTGCTCTCTGTCCATTGTGTGGGGAGAAGACTGATGACCAGTAATTAATCATGCCAGGCAGCTGGATGGGTGGCACGTGGGCACCCCGTGTAAGTTACCTGCTTGATCCAAAAACCACATGGTGGAAGGTTTCCTCCAAACCAATTCCCTGGGGAACGCATTCGTGCAATTTTTGAAATTCTTTCAAAGCGATCGTAGTACTTACACAAATGCCTCCGCCCCAAAGGCGTCGCCAAAAAAGCCCCCCTAAAAAGCTTGTGCACTGCCGCTAGTGCGCATCTTCGCTGCACATAGCATACAATAAAAAAATGGACACCCAACAAAAAAATCCTAGCTAAAAGCCTGCTTGTCACTAGAGATAGACAGAAACTAATAAACTAACAACTTGGATGTCAGCCAGGATTGAAAATTATCTAGTGTAACAAGCTGTCACACTGCCAGAGGCTATGTACAAGTATGCGGGTACAGGTACATACATGACATCATAGTACTTATAATGCATACCAACTGAATGGGGGAATGTCAAATTTACGTTGCAGATTGCTTATTCTGAATCCGACTATACCTTGGGAAAAAATGTAATATTGACAATCTGAAGTTTTTTGTGCAGATCTGTATTGTATGGTATGGATATGTTAATATAATAATCATATCACTGTCAGTAAGATTTTTTAAAATGTCAGCGTACAAAAACTCTCTACTAGAAACTGTATATGACTGGAGGGTTTTGTTTATTTGACATAGAAAAGGTCCTTCCTTCCTGAACAACAACACATGGGAACTCCTCAGCAGAACTGGTAAACTAACCCTGTCAGCTGCTTTTCCACTCTAATTCTCTACAGGAACAACAACACCGGCCTTGTAGATGTTACAGGTCCAGCAGGGTTTGTGACTGCCAAAGTGTTGACCTACCATGTTATATGCCTGTCTAACTTTGTACCCCTGTGATTAGCAAGTTCAAATGTCCAGGAAGTTCAAATTAGACTCAGTTGGCAACTTGGCAGCTTTCCTAAGTACGAAGAAGGAATGAATCCCTGTATAATATTCTTATCTCAAACTTTGGCAAATCATGATGAGAAGAATTTCTTTTCTGGAACTTGTCCAAATTCACTTCAATACTAGGAACAGTTCATCAAAATAATAGTACTAGTAACACATGTATCACATTTTTGGTCAAATAAGAATATTAATGACGGACACGGTCTATGCCGTAAAAAAATCATATACCACGGTATACATAGCCATACAGAGATCAGTCTATGAATCAGAAAACTTGAACCAAGCTTACTGATATCCACCCCCAAGGATCTTACAATTACATGACAGACTACATTGTACATGACACCCTTTCGTCAGGGTGTTAAAGACTAGCGCATAACCTTCGTTCTGACATTTACTTCTGAAGGTTTCTGTGGGTGGAATCGTTTGTCTCTTCTCTGTGATGTTTACTGTAAGAAAAGTGGGTGAAAGTGGGCGATAGGACTGCCATATGGTGGACAATATGGTCATGCTATCATTCTGTTTTCATTGCACCAAATGTCTATGGACAAATCATGGTAATCAACATACATGTACATATCAAAGAATTCTGGATAGAGGGCTTGAATGTGTTTTCTAAGAATACTTCACATTACTTTCATACTTGCAGTGTATCACATCAGCTCTGGAATAATGAAAATACTGTGCACTTAAATTAAAAGTGGCCAAGAGATTACTCATGCCCGGGCCGAAAAAAAATCTTGACATGTGGTCACTATAGGCAGGATCCTTAATGCTTGTGTCAATAGGAAAAACTATCTAAGGGACCAACAAAAAAGTGGTCACATTGGCCACGTAATCCTTATGTAGAGGTAGCTACTTGTAAGTTGTACAGGTTTGACTGAACGGGTCTACCTAACTAAACAGTTTTTATCATCTGCAAGGGTGGCAAAGTTGCCTAACAAAGCATAGGTGTATTTCAGAGTTAGGCAAAGTAGCAGAACACAGGTACAAAATGTAGTTCAATGATGGGTTCACATACTTGTCTATTTGTCTACTTGTTTTCCACAAACAGTTGGGGATGGGTAGAGAAGCAGGTTTAGAATACTTTATTTTCATAATGAAATTCATTATGGATAATAAACTACTATCAGGTATGACATTTTCAAAGGACTTGCAGATCTGCAATACTATGTCCAAATGCTAGATGGAGCTGCTCCACCAGCTCTGAATACAGGTGGGAGCAATGAACCATCAGAATTTTGCCTGTTGCAGAGGATATCTTTTGCAACGTAACATTTGGAAACTACAGAAGGGATGTTAAACTTTATGTGCAAATACGACCTTAGATTTAACGTTCTGCCGAAGTGCTAGCACAATACATTACGCCGTTACACGTTATGCCAACGTGATGACCAACCTGTTACCTGAATGGTATTTTTCTACTACTACTGTGTTACTTTTCCTGCAAATCACAAAGCCTCATCTTGTATATACATGTCAAACTGAGAAGACTACTCTGAGAATTGACGTATGTCAAACTGAAGACCAATAAAATCTGGTCAGAATGTGGACAGGTGGTCACTATAGAGATGTAGGATTCTTTATTAATGCCTATGTCAATGGGAAAAAAGTATCTAAGGGGCCACCAAAAAGTGACTTTATTGGCCAGGTAGTCCTTGACTGACAGAGGTGGTCACTAGTACATGTTTGACTGTGTACATGTATATACATTTCTTGAGTGTTCAGGACCTCACTACAATAACACATGCCTCTTCTACAGTGCATGACATCCAATTACTCCCTCCATGGCACATAAAACCCCAAATCCTGCGCCATACCCTCTCTATTTCCCATTTCCCAGTTCCAGATCAGTGCTCAGCGTGATATGTGTGCTCCCAGTGGCTTGTGGGTAATTTGGCTGGATGCTATCAACCCCCCACCCCTCCCTGTTGGCTTGACCTCTACCTTCATGCCCTGACCTTGGGGTCAGCGGCCATTTTCCACGAGAAAATTGGTTCTACACCGACCCTGTTAAATTATATACCAGCCACCATGGAATATGTCTGTTATAGATTAGACTGGGCACTCATGGTCTAGACCAATTTCTTTGCCTGTGCACATCCTTCTGGTATTCTGCTATCTATTCTACATATAAGGCCATACCAATTCAATTTGTTGATTCTATAATTGCAAAACATTTTTTGAACTACAACAGGAAAAGTCTGAGGCTTCACACTCTTTCACAGTTTTCAGA